AATGTGCATTGGCTCGTTTAATTTACACTTGAAGTGGATTGGTCTCACTAAGCAAGATCCCAATTTGTCGGTCTCTGAGTAATTTGGACTTGGAGTGACCGACTGAAAGGGAACTGTTTTTAACATTGATAATAATGACAACCATTTTTATAATAATAAGTGAGCATCAAATCAACATATTAGTATGATTTCTGAAAGATTATGTGACATTGAAGACTGTATCAATGACTACTGAAAATAAATTTACTAAACAAACAAACAAACAAACAAACAAACACAACTGTGTAATAATACTTACATTTCTGTATTAGTTTTTTTTTTTTTTTTTAAATAAATGCAGCATCAGTGAATATAAGATAATTCTTAAAAAAAAGAATAATAACAAAATAATAATAAAAATTCCAAACTTCTGTCCAATAACGTATATCATAAACATCATATATACATTTTTATGGTATATAATATCACCATATACACTGTCAATAGTGTTTTACGAATACGATCTTATGAAAAACATTTTACTAGTTGGCGATTTTGTATCAGTTTGTACAATTTCTGTTTTATTTAGCTAAACTAGCTAAAATTAATAACTAAACATGAAAGTCCAACCCTAAACTTCATTCTAAAGCAGATCTTACAAAAATATTATGAAGTAGATTGTACAAATTCATACCAATTTGCTACCAATTAAAAAAACTAACAAAAAAAGTAATAAGTTTAGATATAGCAAAACACATTTAGTTGTTGTGTTATGTTTGCATGCACTAAGACAACAACTTACTATTCATTAAAGAAAATCCTGCAAAAACTGACCCATGCCCTATTTTGCATATCTGAAAGCTGTAATCATCGGTAGACTACATTATCTCGGGTAATTTTTGTGCAAGCTATCAAGTTTGTGTTTTTACACAGGCGCGGCTTTAATAAATCACTGCCTGTGTGTATTGAGTACTAAATGGTGGAGTAGCTGTTAGTGAGGAGCTGATTAAAGGGGAACCTTGTGCAAATTTCATCAAAGTGTGGATAGTCTTCTTTTGGGACAGTCTTTTGGAATTTGGCTCCACTATGAAATACCCTAAAGCATACTCTCCATTCAGACTGAGGTCTTAATGCATTTCATGCCTTAATGCATCATTTTCCAGATTCATGATGTTTGTTCTGTTTTGCTCAGCTAAACCAAAGTACACAGTGTTCATCTGTTAAAAGTTAAGCACGCCTGCAGATTTATAATAAAATATGTGTGCTTGCTAATAGCCCGTTGCAATCAAATTTACGTCAGGATTCTTTTTATTAAGCATGCATGCGGCGCTGCCAACCATTACGCCACTCGAGCAACTTGGGCTTGTGTACCTTGCTCAAGGGCATGCTCGGAAACATCAAAAGATCCCATGCTGAGCAACTACACCTTTTCCCAAGCCTAAGAATCTAGATACAGCAAAATTCTGTTGCCGTCTTTGTAACACTACTGCTTCCCTAACATTAAAATTATTCCATGGCAAAAAACAGGAGATACATTATAAAAATAGGTATAGAATATAACGTCTCCAGGTTACGCATGTAACCATGGTTCCCCGAAAGGAACGAGACGAGTCGAAACGCTACGGGAACGCCTCCAGTGTGACAACGCTCTGAATCCCATGTGTAATCAGTCCAATGGATGGGCGAGACGTCAGGGGCGGGGTGATGTAGCGACCAGGAAGCATAAAAGCACGTGCGGTGAAACCGGCGTCAGCTTCTAGGAGTGAAGCAAGTGCTGGCAGGGATGCCGGAAGTATGGCCCTGAGACGCAGCGTCTCGTTCCCCTCGGGGAACCATGGTTACATGTGTAACCTGGAGATGTTCCCCTTCAGGAACTCGAGCTGCGTCGAAACACTACGGGAACGAGTATGCCCACGCCGCCAGACTTGCAAATCCCTGCCTAGTGTGGAAGAGCACAACTAAGGTGAGAGAAAAGGGAGCCAGGAATGGCTAAAGTAGGCGGGGCCCGCCGTCCCGAAGGCGGTTAAGGAAGAAGATAGGGACTCGCCCGTCTACATTCCCTCCACCGGATCCATATGCGAAACCCACGAGCACAGCCGTCGCTCTGCCTCGGCGAAAACGGGGCCTGAAAACAGCCTGAGATGCTGCCCGCTCTCGCCGTATGTTTGTCTACACTCGTATTGGTAAAATAAAGAGTGATAACACCTAATAAGACTGACACACACAGAGCGCTTGCTGAATGACAGAAAGCTGATGCTGGTTTCACCGCACATGCTTTTATAGCTTCCTGGTCACTACGTCACTCGCCCGTGACGTCTCGCCCATCTATTGGTCTGATTACACACGAGGTTCAGAGCCGGTCACGCTGAACACAACTAAGGTGAGAGAAAAGGGAGCCAGGAATGGCTAAAGTAGGCGGGGCCCGCCGTCCCGAAGGCGGTTAAGGAAGAAGATAGGGACTCGCCCGTCTACATTCCCTCCACCGGATCCATATGCGAAACCCACGAGCACAGCCGTCGCTCTGCCTCGGCGAAAACGGGGCCTGAAAACAGCCTGAGATGCTGCCCGCTCTCGCCGTATGTTTGTCTACACTCGTATTGGTAAAATAAAGAGTGATAACACCTAATAAGACTGACACACACAGAGCGCTTGCTGAATGACAGAAAGCTGATGCTGGTTTCACCGCACGTGCTTTTATGCTTCCCGGTCGCTACGTCACCCCGCCCGTGACGTCTCGCCCATCCATTGGACTGATTACACATGTGATTCAGAGCGTGGTCACGCTGGAGGCGTTCCCGTAGCGTTTCGACGCAGCTCGAGTTCCTGAAGGGGAACATTAGTAGAGCAAGTACTGAAGCTGTGAGAATGGAAAACACAACTTTTTAAATCACAAATTAATTAATCTTTGTTTGGAATACACTAATGCACATTTCCTCATTTAGAAAGTATATAAGCTAAATGAATAGTACTAAAAAATAAACCGTCTAACTGGTGAACGGTTGATTAAAATTATAAACTGTACCAAGGGGCTTCTTGGTGGAGCTACTAATTTGCTACTTGTTTTGTAATGGCGTTTGTTCATCCGGTTTGTCGTTTTGTGGTCACCGCACGCACCGAAATGAGAGAAGATTGTGGGTCACCACAGTGTGATTGGCACAAACAAGCTGAATCTAAATGCTCATTAACCCAAGCCTTAATTCAAAACAACATCACTGTGCTTATTTTGTTGAGTTGAAGAGGTATTTTCTTCACCTTCATGTGAAGAATTGAAGAGTACATACACTATTTGAAATTATAAGCCAACTGGCATTAAAAACACAAACATATTACACATCCTCACACTATCATGCATATGTAATGTAAAGGTAGAGGAATATTTCAGCCGGGAAAAGGGTGTGAAAAAAGTTATGAACATTCTTTAATGAGTTCCTGAGAGATTTTCAGACATGGCTTGGTTTTCCTTTACTTGGTTTTATAAAATATATGAATATCATATTTTATCCTTGATATAGATGCATTTACTGGGTTTTTAATCTATCCCACATGTTTCCATGGTAATTAATTCCAATCATGTTCAAGTCCCAGAGAAAGAATTATGAAAAAAAAACAACAACAACAACAACAAAACAATAATGTTAATGCAAACAGTACGTGGCAGACTAACACAATTGACTCACCAAACCAAATTCCCTCACTTAATAATGAAATAAAATAAAATAAAATCCTGGGAATACAAATTTTATAATTTATTATTAAAATGATTTTTATTTTGTTATTTTCCTGCTGCTATGATTACTAAAATATACATACACACATACATATATACTGTATATATATATATATATATATATATATATATATGCTTAAAATTTTGCAATGTTAATTGCTAGACCTATCATGCTGTTTTTTGTTTGTTTGTTTGTTTTGTTTTTGCAACAGTCATGCACATTGCAGTTAAACAGTTCACATTCCATATAAAATTATTTAAATAAATTATTATTTAAATTATTTAAATATTTATGAATCTTTATGGTCTTTATGAATATATATTTAAGTTTTATAAATTAATAAAACTGTCTTATTAATTAAACATTTTATATTTTTTATATTAATTTGACTAAAAATATGTTTTTCTGCTCTGCATAGTTTTAAAAGCTAAACAAAAAATGAGGCTTCTCTCTTTTTAGAAGACGATACACATTTGCTTTGATTTTGACGGAAACCTCTCCATCATATACATTTCTTCAGCTTCACATTTTGGATGTAGCCATCCATGGTATACTGGAGGATACATGTATTAGATTTAATTGCATGGTCAATCTAGATGTTACTGTATATAATAACTGATCAAGTAATTCTCTAATTCAATCGCTTCTCTCTCCATGTTAGCCAGTGGATGACAAAGCTCCTCCACCAAGCTCTTCATAATTATGTCTTACCTTTAAAGAGCATTTTACAAAACAACACCCACCACTGTTCTCAATAATTAAAATCTCATAAAATGAGAGACACTCAGTGATGCCGTGTCCAATTATAGACCTGTGTCTGCTGTTCCTACATAAGTAATGTTTGAGTGAGGCAGCAAACATCTGTCCAGGCTGTATGATGCATGCTGGACACAGCATCTGTTCATTCTGACTTGTGCTTACCTGGTTGCCAGCAGCCTTCTTCTTATTCATCTGACTGCTTCTCTGCTGGGCGCTGAAGGTATAAACAAAACAAAAAAAAAGAAATATCTATAAAGAGCACAAAACAATTGGAACTAATGGATATCTAATAGCCACAAAACCATTGAAGTGAGTTTGAATTTTGGGGGTCATTGCCAAAAAGCAGATACTGATATCACCATCAGACTTTTTCACAATCTTAACCAGCAAGACCTCCTAAAGTCTGGAATACACACCATTTTAAAGTGCCCCTATTATGCCATTTCGAATATTGCCTTTCATGTAGTGTGTAATGTAGCTTTATGTGAATGTAAACTATCTGCAAAGTGGTAAAGCTGAAAGTGCACGATAAATAAAGTTATTGTGTCCCAAAAGAAATAACTGACTCTGAACAGCCTAAACGAGTCGTCAGGAATTCAAATCCCACTTTCGTGACGGTTTGCATAATGCCCACCAATGATCTACGTTGTCCGGCCGTGAAGAAATTGACCCGCCCTCAAACACTGTAGCTTGTTCATGTGGGTAACATCATGTCGAGAAGACACTGTGTCCTACACTGTGAAAGTAAATTTGTTTTATTTTCCCTTCCGAAAGATGAGGCTGTAAAGAATCAGTGGTTAAAATTCAACGCAGTACAACCCCGATCTTTTTTTTGTGTTCCTGTCATTTTACTGACGACTGCTTCTCTAATCTCAGGGAGTTCAACGTGGGATTCACAGAACGCTTGCTCTTGAAAGATGGCTCAGTATCCAGTTTATTTGGACCAGCTGGCTCCACCGAATCACAACCTGTAAGTATGATAAATAATAGATGCTTATATTTTCTACTGAGCGTTCAAAATACGGAACTATGGCAGTGGGCGTATTGTTACACACACTATGACTTTTAAGTCATAACGAATCCGAACACAACAAACTCACACAAAAACGTGACCCACTGCTAGGCGACATGTGACAAATGAAAAAAATATGTGCTCTAAAATCGGCTCAAAGTATCAAACATTTCTGATATTATCTGATCTGATGGAGGCTAAAAAACTGGAGTCTGTGTCCATCGTACACTGCCCGATTTTCTTTGAACATGGTCAACTCAGACTGCTGACTGACTCTGACTTTCGGCTGCTAGCATCAACACGTCCAGACTGCAAATCCAGGCAAAGATCTGTACAAAAGTAGTGTAGTGTATTCCAACCTTTAGTTGACTACCTTTACCAGTTAAATTGCAAAAGTTGGAGAACAGAATGGCTTATGCTGGTCCACACACTAGACTATCACCAAACTCACAATTCTGCATTCAGTAGTGTTGATCAGAGTAGATTATAAATTCCATGGATCTGATTCTGCCAAAGGATTTATAAAGGGCGAAACTGAAGAAGGTTAGAATAATAACTCAAATGTACGGCGAACAATGAACAGACACTTTTAAACTGTACAATTATTGTACAGTCATATTTAGCATGTCTTTATGAATCAGTCTGTAGGTCTACTGTGAATATCTAGGGATCAAAGAGGACACAATCACTGTGCCTTTGAAAAATAATTTCCCGACTGAGAAAAAGGAACGTGAACTCAAGTCGGAAAGCTCTAATAATACAAATCCAACACATCTTATAATGGTTAATGATGAGACCATAGAATTGCTCTTCAGAAAGCATTCATTGAATGACATTTTCAGTATTAGTTTCTATGAACCTGATGGTATCCTCACAGTTATGTTGGAGTGTTCTAGCTGTTTGCATTTTTAGGTGACAAACAATAATGTTAGTAAATGGTTAATAATGTTCTTACTTTGCAAAACCGATGAAATCCTCATGATTGGTGTTCATGTAGGCTAGCTCAATGTCAATTAGCAGCATGACCTGATGGCAGGAAAAGAATACACATGTCGCTATTTGTTTTTCAGTTTTACCACATGAGTTTGTATATGTGAGGGTTGGCAGGCGTGTGGTAGAAAGGCAGTACCTGATCCTTAGTGCGACTCTCTCAATCATGGATGTGCTGGGTGACAATCCTCTCCATTTCCTCTCTAAGCATGGGGTACTGAGCCAACTGTCC